GGAGGGCAGCTTTCCCCTACAGCGTCAGCCCTGCCTCAAGTGCCTCCCACGTCTCGGTTTCAGAATGTGCTGGTGTGGTTGTATTTGTTGAAATGTTCAGTTATGGTTGCTGGTTTAACTTTCCTTCCCTAGCTGGGAATGTTTGAGGAGGGCTCTCTGAGCACTGCCTCCCTTCTCGGTCTCTGAAGGACTTTTAATTACTCATGTTCTACCTTTACCTTATTTTTGTTCTAATTTGTAACAGCGTGGTGAAGATCCTGCTCGCAGCTAACGCAGATCCAAACCTTGGAGACGATTTCAGCAGCGTGTATGAGACTGCCAAGGAAAAAGGCCTCCATTCTTTGGAAGGTAATAGTGTTTGTGTGCAGCTACCTGCGTTTGCTTTTCAGGTCCCAGAATTTTTTTTTACTGGCTTTGAAATGGAAATTTGACCTCGTTGGGTTTTTTTTAGAGCTAGCTTCAGCTTCCATTTAAATGCAGAATAACTGATGGTATGTGGGTGAGTGTATGCCTGAAGATGAGAGAAAACGTTATGTAGATGTTTATGAGAAGCAATCCTTCAACATCCTAGAGATAACCTGTTTTTATATAGCCAGAACATAATACGAAGTCGTAGATAGGAGCATCATCCCGTTGACCCACATGCAGCCGCTTGCTGGGGAAGGAGAAGGGTTCAAGGCGGTGTATTCCACCAGTAGCCTTACTCTAGATCTTATAAGTAGGTATAAAATGAAGAGAGACCTGTCCAATTGAAATAAAGCTGAATGATGTAACTGGTTGCAATCACTGCTGCTGGTTTTTGGGCAGGTGTTAATGCTAACTTTCAGCCTTGAAGTCCTTACATGGAAATGAGGAGATTTTTTTGCAGCGTCATTTCATCTTGTTATGATTTTTCATGGCCGATGTCTCAAGTTCCAGTCTCATCCTAAAGTTATCCCCATTGCTGGGGTCTTGGCCCCACTAAAATGCCCCCGGCTGTTGCCTTCCCCATTTCAGAAGCCCCTTCCCCATCCGAGCGCTGCGCTGAGCTGCCGGCCTCGGCCCTGGGCTCTGCCGGCTGCCGGGACTCGCGTTCCCAGGGCCTGCTGCATCCCCAGTGACTGCATTTGTGTGCTCTGAGCTTCTGCTTTGAAGTTAAAGCTTTTCTGAGCTGCTGTAAGGAGAAAATTGGAGGCAGCCACCCAGGTTGTCCAGAGCCTCGGTTTGCAGAGCCTCGTTCGCCCGGTGACATTATCCATTGCTCTGTCTGTGCTTTTTGCCTCGCCGCTAAGAGCCGAAAGCTGTATAAAGTCTAACGAAGGTGTAATATTTGAACCTTTCATAAACCACAGGTTGAGTTAAGAAGATGAATCAGTGAGGGGACAGTTTTGACAGGGCGTTATTTTGTTTTTAAAAGCTCTCCACTCTCATCCCTCACTGTAACCCACCCGTGCAATAGACCTCCTCCTTGATGGGAGGGAGAACACGCGTATATCAGATCGCTGTAGCAGCAAATGCAAAACCTATGAAACGGCACTAAAAATGAACAATGGAATGCCAATACATAATGCATGTTCATAGACTTTATTTAAGACAAAGTATATCAACCAATGAAGTTAATTGTTTTTGTCTGCCTTCATCCCTCTATAATGTTATATATTTTTGGGGTGAAGAAAAGATAAAGCTACTCAGTAAGAAGTTGCATTAATTCTTTCGTTGACATGTTTTATTAAAAAGAATAAATTCAGTTGCATTTTAAAAAAGAGAGGGAGAGAGAGAAACTGCCTTTGTTTTTTTACTTTTTTTTACACATTTACATATTTCGTATATAAATATTTTTTCATAAAAACATCCAAATCGAGAGGGTATGCTCCACGAGCACTGCACAAAATATATTACAGACATTTATATGGATGGCAGGAAGGGAGACAGAGGGCTGAAAATTTCCAGGCACCCAGTGATTGATGGTAGACGAGGCTTCCCCTGACGCTTTATTGAGTTTCCGATGATTATCTCTCTCTGAGACATTTTTTACAGATGACGGCCGAGCTGTCACAACGGACCATGGGGGAAAAAACCCAACAATAATAACACTTTAATCTCTTTACTGCACTGCTCCCTAGTATCTCAGATTCATCTTCCCTGACGCACGCAGTTCATTATCCTGCTCCTCCCTGGGTAGGAAATGACGACAAATAAATAAATATACATACTCGCCCTGTATGCTTGGAGAAAAGACCCAGGAAAGGAAAGGAGCCAGGGCATTAATTGATCTTACTGGAGGTACTGCGGTTCATTAGTAGAGATGCTGAGCTAGGACGGCATCAGGTATTCATTCCAGTGTTTTTCTCCTCTGAACTTTTCAAAGCTTCTGGAAATCTTAGGAGGGAGCGTGGAGACTGCGCTGCAGGGGACCCACCGTCGGGGGCTGCTTGCTTTGCTGTGACGAAGCGTTAGGTCCTCAGAGCCCTTTCGGGTTCTCGACGGCAAAGTCCCTGAACGTGGGCTTACTGAGTTTTGGTTACACGCCTCCAGGAGCAGAATGTGGCCCACCGGTTGGGTGGCACTCCTTCAACGGGAGAGCCCCAGCCCAGCCCCGCCATCACTTAGGCTCCGTGGTGGGGCTTCATGCTTGTAGGGCTTCCTCATCTCCCAGAGCTGGGGAGAGGGGTTTGTGGCCAGGCCTGGCCCTGCTGCCTGCCCCCTCCAGCGTGTCCCAGCCGAGTGAGTGGCGGGTTCGTCTCCGTTAACTCTGGGATGGGTGCGACAACTGCCCTTCCCTCAAAAATCAGATCTAAAGTGCAGCAGCTGTCAAAACCCGCAGTGCTGAGTGATAGCGTCTGCTTGTTGATAAAGAACCGGTGAAGACGGTGAACGCTGAAAAGAGAGGGGGATCTGCCCTCCAGGCAGACAGGAGAGTGGTGCTCACCTCAGATCCTCGACTGGAAGACTTGACCTCTTTGGTGGCTGTGCTTGTCCATCTGGGCAGGCTTTAGGTCCAGCTTTAGGTCTGACTTCTCTCTGGTGTGTTGAGTGCTCTCAGGGCTGATGTGAAGATGCCATCTCTGCTGCTGTAAGTCTCCTTCCTGCCTAATCAGCGGGCTGGTGTCGTTATTTCCTTCAGTACCGAAAAGGAGCCACTCTTTTTTCCACTGTTTGTTGTTACTGATGACTAAAACGAAGGGCTTAAAAACCAGGAGGTTTTCTAAAGCCTGACCCTTAGACCAGCTGCAGAAGAGTATGGGTGCTGCAGACCCTGCCTGCAGACCCGCGCAGGGTGCTGGGCCCCTGGGTGCTGGAGCCCTGCCCAGAGACACGGACTGGTCTCCTGGAGACCCCTGGAATTAGGAATCTGCCTGAAGGCCGAGCGATGGCGGGGCAGCGTCCTCTCCCTTCCCAGCTTCCCTTCTGTTTGCTGAAATCACCACTGCCTTGTCGTAACCAGCCTGGGTGTCGGGAGAGGATTTCTCCTGCCCTGGGAGGATGTTCCCTAGCACCAGAGCACCAGTACGGAGGCACCGTTCCCCTCTCCCACTGCCTGCCAGGGTCTGAGCTTGCCTGTGGGTGCTGCAGGTGTTGTTCGGTCTGTGCTTGGGGACCGATCAGGGCTGCCGTTAGCAGGGACAGGAGGTGTCGTTCAGAGCCGTCTTAGAGGCATCCCGTACCTGTGCCGTACCACCGTGGCCAGGGCTGCTCGCCGTGGTGCGTTGCCCACCTGGCAGCTGGGTTTGCCTACAAATCTACCACCCCGCCAGCTCCTGCCTACACGTGTGGTGGAGAGGGGACTGATCCAGCGGGAGCTGGGCTTGGTGCTGGCTCCCTTGCAGAGAGCCTTTGCCTCTGCACATCGGTTTGACTTAGTGCATTCCTCGATCTCCGAGCTTTGCAGTCCAAACTCTGATTTTTGCAGCTGATCTGGAAGGTTTAGTGTTGCAGTGTGTCTGTCCCACCACACAGTCCTTCTCCTGTCCTCCTGGGCCCAGCTTTGCTCCAGCCTGCCAGCACGAGTCATTGGGCTTTCCCTTTTGCAGGGTATCGGTGCATGTTGGCGTTCAGCAGAACAGAGCTCAAGGGAAGGAAAAAATTAAAATTAAAGAGCTTTAGAAAGCATCAGTTTCTGTTCAAAGAAACGTCACAATTGCTAGGTCTGATTTCACAAAACCTGCCAGAGCTCAGTATAATTGCGTTTGCTCAGGGGATTCCAGGCTTTCCGGTGCGTTGTAAAATGCACTTTTATGAATTATTGCCATCCCGATGGCGCCAAGGAATACACCTCATGGAGCGCGCTGTACTGGTGGCTAAGCAAACACAGGATAAAAACTCCAGGTCCCCAAGAACAGCCAGTTTCAACACAGAACCAAAGATGGCAGGAGCAGAACTGAGTTAGGTATCATGCTCTGCAGCACTTGAACCCGCGTTACTTTTCAGTTACCAAAGGAAGTGTTTTTAGAAGAGTTCCTGCATTTCAATGGCCACTCCTTGACGTTTCTGGGAAGTGCGGAGCCGAGGAGGCAGCTCCTGGGGGAGAAGGGCACCGGAGCGATGGGAGCGGTGTGATAAGGGAAGCTTCCCACGACTCTGAGGAGATCCCCTGGGCATTCCCAGCTGACTGCTGTCCTGAGGATCTGTCGTCCCTCAGCCTCTCCGACTCTTTTCTCTTGGTTACAGCTTGCAGGTTTTGGCGCTTCCAGCCTTAAGTAGGCACAGACTGCTGGGATGGTGTTTTGGCTGGGGGAGGAAGGTGATGTGGAGGAAGCACTGAATGGTTGTTCCCTGGCCCTTCTGGGCAGTAAAAGGGGGAAAAAAGGCAGAAGTCTCAGCATTACTTGCTTGTATTGAATCCTGGTTTCACTTTGAAGGCACAAAGAGGCTGTGGTTGGAACAAGGCTGAGGTTTTCTCTCGGGCTTTCTCCAACCACCTCCTCCCCTGCCTGGGCGCTGTGAAGGCAATCCCTGAGTTTGTAGGAACCGTCTTGTCATCACCTCCATTGCTGCTCAGTGGAGTGGGGACAACAGCCACCAGAAACACCCCAGGGGTCCTGATTGTCCCCTGGAAAAGGCCATTAGGCCCTTAACAAGGTTCCAGACGGGTGGTGGGGGTCCGTGCTGCTGGGGCACGTTCAGACAAGCAGTTCTTTACTTGGTCTCAGCGAGCTGAGCTTTCATTCTTCTTGCCCTGCAGTCCTTGTGACCCGGGAGGACGACTTCAACAACCGCTTGAACATCCGAGCCAATTTCAAGGGGTGCACAGCTCTACACTACGCCGTACTGGCCGATGACTACCTGACGGTCAAACTGCTGCTGGATGGAGGTGAGTTTTGTAGCTCCGAACGGCTCTTGGGCCAGGAGCACTTTTTCTGAGTAGGTCTGTCCCACAGAACTGTCC